TGTCAAGGGTGTGGGTGTGGGTGTGGGTGTGGGTATGGGTGTGGGTGTGGGTGTGGGTGAGTGTGGATGTGGATGTGGATGTGGGTGTGAATGTGGGTGTGGATGCGGGTGTGGGTGTGGGTGTGGGTGTGGGTGGGTGTGGATGTGGATGTGGGTGTGAATGTGGGTGTGGGTGTGGATGCGGGTGTGGATGTGGGTGTGGGTGTGGGTGGGTGTGGATGTGGGTGTGAATGTGGGTGTGGGTGTGGATGCGGGTGTGGGTGTGAAGTGTGAATATCGTCTAATTTGGCTTTTACCCGGACGCACACCCACACCCACACGCACACCCACCCACACCCATCCACACCTACCCACGCCCACACCCACATCCACACCCACCCACACCTACACCCTTGGAAACCCGTAACTTAGCCCACGTTGATTAATACTATTCAGCGCGATAATCAACGATAGATTTGATATGGAGGAATATTCGCTGAAAGTTTCAGTTTCAGCTCAATTTGGCTGAAGCTGTTTGTATCATTTACAAAATCGAAAAGTCAATTTTTGGAAACATTTTAGCATACAGGCCAAAAAATTTTTTTCAAAAACCCGATTTTTATTATATATGGTTCGATACAGCTCGGTGTACTGATTCCGAACATCATCTTGGTTTTGCACCAAAATGATGTCGTGTTTACAAAAATAGGGATTCGGGGACAAAAACCTCAGATTTTGAGGATACAGATGTCACAGTGTAAAAAAAATGAAATTCCGTAACGATTGGTCACACCGTTTCATAGATGTCTCTTTTACTAATTATCAATATCTATTCAATACAAACAGTTTTTTTCTGGGAATTGAAATAAAAGTTTTTAAATATTTGTCTTGTTTATTTTACATTCATTATGACATTCTCTTCTACAATGCTGTTTCACGGAATAGATAAACAAATCTCTTCTGACTTAAGCATTATTGCCTATTTTGAAAAAAAAAACGAGACCATCTTTGGAATAATCTTCTCTAAATACATCCCTGTCTATGATATAAATAAAAACACTAAGGTATTTGACACGAATATATTTATACAACTATAATATAGAGATAAAATTATTAATGAAACATTCGAAAAAATATTTTGAACCATGAACTACAAGTAGTGTACAACCATAATACAACAAATATAATAGGATATGTACAAATGATCTTAGACAAAAGCAAGGCTCTTTGACGAAACAAATCAGTATTGATATATAACAGGACAATAGTACATAGCTAAGATTTAAAGATAAATTAAACATTAAATTGATGATGTTCTTGAATTGAGACTCCACTCATCACCTTCTTTAATTTTCGACGATATCGTTTTGACAACCATTTGATCTTGGCATAACGAGACGAATCATTATATTTGGTAAATTCTTGAAGATGATATTGTTGATGTTGCTCATGGTACTTCTGAACAAGAAGACAGATACGGAAAACAATCCCACTAATCAATATTCCACATACAATTAAACCAATAATAAAAATGGAAATGGTACGACCGATCATATGTTCTTTTTTCTAGAAAACAACAAAAATTATCACTAAAATGAGGAAAATAATAAGATAATGATTATATCTTACCCACAGATCATATGCTGTCTTAAAGGCTATTCCAATTATGACGAGACCGACTGCATTGGCAAAAATATATAGGGCAATATCTACGAATTTTTTATTTTTTGTCAAACGGTACTGGTAATTTAAAAAGAAAATATTTATAATAATTTCGAATAAGTAAAGAATAATAAACGAAATTTTTTATTAGATACATAGAAAAAAAGATTTACCACAAGTATGCGTACCTGTGTATTCAAACAACATTGAGATTTGTTTATTGTCGAACTAGAAGAAGTACTAATTGGTATTATAGCAATAGACATAATGAAAACTATTTCTACAAATGTTTCGATCTAAAACAATATGTTAAACATTATATAGTGGAAGATGTTCTAGGTAAAATCAGAACGACCGTGTTCGTCAAAACAGGGATTACGATTCTGATATTGAAGCACATATTTATTGTTTTGCTGAACTCATCTTCTCCAAATGATGATACACTCATTTATCATAGCAATGTTTTCCTTCTTATTCAAGTGTGGATTGAGATACTTTATTTTTGACTAAAAATTATTCTGTATTTAGAGGCCACATACTATAACTCTTTTCATTACGTGCCCAAATGCTTTCTATGCAGTTGTGTGTAAATGATATAGTACACATCTCATTACAATGTTAAAAAGCTGTTAACACAACCCCTGTAGGATTAAAATGTGAAACACGATAGATCTTCATATATTGTAAGCGGGGAGACTCTGCAACATAAAGAGTGTTTCATAATAGATGAGGATAAATTGTTAATGATATTTTTCAAACTTTTGTTTGACATAGAGATCTGGAATTTTTTTCATATATATATCTAATCACGATCTTTTATTTCTGAAAGTTTCAGCTCTCTAACTGTAACTAGTGATGAGATACATTGACAAGATTGAAATACATAATTTTTCGTACTGAGTTTTTGCTTTATTTTCACTATACAAACTGAGGCAAACAATCGAATGCAAAAAATTATGTATTTCAATCTTATCAATATATCTCATCATTAGTTACAGCTAGAGAGCTGAAATTTTCAGAAATAAAAGATCGTAATTAGATATATACGTGATAAAAATTTCAGCTCTCTACATAAAAAAAGGGCTGAAAACGATCATTAACAATTTATCCTCAGTTATTATGAAGCACCCTTTATGTTTCTGTCCGTCAATTCCAACGCATTCTCAATATATATTCGCGATGAAAGATGTTAATCGTGATACATTACAATGAGTGTTGGGAAGAGAGCCATCGACAGGTATTTTAAATTTAATCGTCTTTCATAATAATCCAGCCGTATACATTACTTTCATGGCTAAGTCCATCTCGAGCTGTTGGGAGAGTGTGCCGCTAAGATGTCTATGATAGTGCCGTAGTCATGTCTGTCACGATCTGTGATAAAGAGGAGCGTTGCTATAATATCTGTCACGATGTGTGGAGAGAGGGAGAGAAGGATGCAAATTTCTACTCCTATGTATTTCAACACTCCTTTTAGATCGTGTTTCACAAAAAAACTATAATAATATATCCTTATTGTCCGTTATAAGATACGTCATAAATAAATACAGAAATTTATCATTGTATTTCTTTTCTTTCACAGTATGCCACAAAATCTTGATGCAATACAACATATATTGTAGAAGAGATATTATCTGATGATGTTGCCAAATGTTGTCCTATCTAACAAATACTATGAATCTACGTCGATCTATAGATGAAAGAAGGTAGCTTTAAAAAAAAAAGAAACTATTTACAGCCCATATTTATATGTGAGCGAACCAGGATGAGCATCCACAGATGACTTGATGTCAATGCTGAACCTTATTTGAGTGAACTAGAATAAGCATTTTCCAAGTCATAGGAGAAACTGATAAAACTCCTTAAAAGAAAACAACACTCACCATTGATAACTTATTCTTCTTTCAATGCAAGGATTAAATATAACAAATGTGATGAGATAAAAATTTACACCTACTTCGAGTTTTAAAGTAAAATAACGATAATATATTAAATAATGTAAGACAGATAATCATTTTATTTTCACAAAAAAAAAATTTGCATAAAATAGTATTAAACTAACAAAAAAAAAAGAAATATTCTTACCATTTAAATAAGATCATTGCACAACTTTTATTCAAATGCTACAAGAAAAGGCTTCATATTTGTCCTTATTTCACTAAGATGAAGCTTGTTAAACAAATATTTTTACTTCCTCTTGCTAAAATACAAGACATGATATTTATCACTTCCATTCTCTTTATTATGACACTGTGGCATTAAGCGTGAAATTATGACTAATTTAAACAATTAGCGACAGTTATACAATATAATTTAAACAAAACTACAGGGTGTTAAAAAACCATTACGCCCCCTCTACAACTTAAAGTATCAATGATATCACAAATGTATTTTATACCAAATTAAAGCGCCTCAAAAACTGGATTTATTGATATTAAATAGTAAAATTTATGAAGACCTTTTAATGTCGAACTTTAAAAAGTTTCAGAAATTTGATACTTTTTTGGTGTAGAAAAGTAAGGTACCAGTAATTCAAAAATGGAGTAACACTTTTTCTTGAAAATTTTTACATGGTTCGATAGAGCTCGTCGAGCTGTACACAGCTATATATTTCAAAAATATTTTGAGCCATCTTTTTGAGATTACAAATTCAAAAAACTACTTGGAAAATCTCAAAAAATGTTCAAAAACTTCATTTTTTTCACATGGAATGGTGTGGGTGTGGGTGGGTGTGAGTGTTCATTAAATCTCATTCTACCCCCACACCCGCACCCACACCCACACCTAGAAGAGTATTTCCTTTTCGACATATTTAAGTTTCAAAAAATAGAAAACCGTAGCATCTTTCCTGAAATATGACTGATATCCTATTGAAGTATTTCATATCTCACTAGACTCTACCTTATGAGCTGAGTTCGAATTTAAAAGCGCTTAATCAGTTGAAAACATTTCCTTGTAAGTACTATCTTATTGGTTTATTAACTTTCATTCAATCATGTATATCTCATTGGAAAAAGGCAGTACTTCTGTTTTGTTAGACATATTATCGGTGAGATGCTATGACCTTAAATATCTTGGTTGACAATATCTAAACAAGATCAAGAAAAGTTTTATTTGATAAAGGTATCTCTTCATTTCGAAGTATTCATACGACAAAATATGATTTGACTATTGAATTATTCTCTAATAAATTTTCTTTAATTACTTGAATATTTTTTAAAAAAGGTCAAGACACCTTTTAATTTATTTTCAAGAAAAAAAGTCGAATAAGTATAATCAATAATAAATTGTTGAATGGAAATATCTAAGATGATAAATAAAACAACCTAATAGGTTGACTAGATATCAAATATAAGAAATAATCAGACTGTTGCAAATTGTACACGTAAATCTCGTTTATCATTTATTGAAATTTGTTTTATTGTTCGACCTTGTTCACCATCTAAATTTAATACTGATGTACGTTCAACATTTGTACATGTCATTTGTATTTGTTGATTTTTTTCTGTAAATAAATTCCACAAACCTTTAATACGATCAGGTAATAAAGGTCCACCATCAATTGTAACCATTGAATTTGATTGAAAATGAACATTTAAATATTTTAATGTTGAATTAAGAAATGGACGTGGTGAAATTAATGTTGGTGGAATTCCTGTTAATGGTCCAGTTAATGACATACATGTTCGTTGAGATTTATTTAAAAGAAAATTAAATAAACTATTTACAGAAGATAAATCTCGAATAAGAATTGTTGTTGAACGAGTTTTTTCATTTGAATGTTTTTTATTCGATGATAAATGTCGTCTTTCATTAGTCATATTTGTTGAATGTGTTGAAGATGTTGCTGATAAACCTATATCTTCTAACCATTGAGCACATGTTACATCATTTTCATCACCATTTTCATCATCTTCTTCATCATTATTCTTATTTGCTGAATTATTTAATGAACCATCACCACTGAAAAAAAATTATCAATATTATATCATTTTAATTAGTAAACGTTTTCTGTAACAGTTCGATCTTTTTTATCTTTTTTAAACTAGAGCATGCGATTGTTCGATAAAAAATGAAAGTTTTTCACATGATACAAAGCACAGAGTGTTAGCATAAAGTCACGACGTAACTGTAGAAGCTGAATTAATGTATTAAAAAAAAATAATTCTCTCATCATCGCCTATCAATTCATTACTTTTTTTTATCTTGGACTTCACGGTTGCTCTACAACTTGTAATTACTAATAAAAATGAACACAACGAAATATCATTAAGAACATTTCATCGGTGTCGAAACAATCTCAAAGTTGATTATTCTAATATAGTATATTATGAAACTTAAATAGATAATTGCATCCGTACATAAATAAACAACTGTAAGAGTTTAGGTGTTGCAATTTCAGGTAATACTGAGAAACTACCGTGACGTATTTGTACTTTTTCATAAGTTTTAAAAAACTGATGTCCTTTTTTCAACAGATGTTATGAAACGAAACTATGAAATAGAACGATTTATCTTCTCAGTCTATCATTGATTGCTTTTAATTAATATCCTTGGAAATTTCCAGAAATCTTATTATTTTTTCGGGGCTCCGAAATTTTACCAATTCGATTGCTTATCAGACATAAATTAAAAATAAACTTCTATCGACTGTATTAATGAATGTAAGTTATAATATATAGATTCTAACAATATTAGCTTGATCCCTCACATGTATCCTATATTAAGGGTACCCCCCCCCTCTTTTTGTGTACTCAAAAAGTGAGTACACTCTAGAATCGGTCAGTGTGTACGGCCGTTAACACGATAACTTTTGAAAGGAGAGTCCAATCGCGATGANACACATGAAATATCTTCTCTTCGTGCTTATGCCAACTTATGGGGTACAGTTTGGTGGAATGGCAAAACGTTCGCAAGACTGCTTTCATCGACTAATTTTTTTAATGGTTTCTAGTATTTAATCAATTTAAAACGGAAAACTTAAAGAAATAGAAAAGCTGAATATGAGTAACGAAGTATCGAAGAACAATGTATGTGATAAAAATATTATCTTTTTTTAATATCCTTATAAAACGTAAAATAAACGATATAGTCAGCGGGCGAAACTTTTGTCGTCGACTAAAACCTTTCCTTACAAAAGAAGATCCTGTTATATAGGAATGTGCCGGAGAAAGTTTTTTGGGTCATGATTTACTTACACAGGAACCTCATCAGGACTTCTGCAGTCGAGTGATGATCATTTTACTGAATCGCTGATCCAACTTTAGGTATTTACCGAATAACGATGTTTCGATTTGAAATTTCGCCCATGAATAAGTATGATGATTTGGGAAATATTCTAGAAGCTTTAGTTCAAAAGAATCTGCCTTTGTCGAGATATTGAATTTTAAAAAACTTCGTCGTTTGCAACAAAAACCAAGTTTACTTGAAAACTCAATACCCCAACAAAAGATTATTCTTTTCGGCTGAAATCTTTAAGATAAGATATTCAACTACGATCTGTTTATATGCCAAATTTCAGATCCAAATAGCATTATTTGATTTTTTTAATAAATACTTAAAGGTGAATCGAAAATTCAGTGAAATGGTCATCATTCAAATGCCAAGGATCATATGCATCAACCTTTTTAGAATCTTTTTCGCGTTGTCAACAGTTCTTTGTGAACCCAATATGCATTCAAACAGTGAATATCAATTCGAGTAGAGTTTTTTCGTTAATACACACAATAAACAGTCAATAAAACATTGTAAAACTTTAGTATTTCTTTTAAAACTATTCTCTTTAATTTTAATTACCTTGAAGTTTATAATTTATTAAAGATTTTTTAATATTTTCTTTTTGATTATAATCACATTTTGAACAAATAATATTTGTAGATATATTTTTAATATATGGTATTAATATAACATCTTCATTTAAATATTCATCACATTTTGGATGAAAACGATGTTTACATTTAATACATTGTAATAAATTTTGAATTTTTTGTTGTGACTGATTACCGATTAATGTTAATGAAAATAATGGTTTAGGTTTTGTAAGAAATTGTTCAATAAATTTTTCACATAAATGACATTTTTCAATTTGATTTGTTTTATTTGTACGAATTATTTTCATATTATTTAAACAATCGGAACACATAAGTGATTGTTGAGATGAAAATGATTTTGTTAATGATAAAAGATTTTGTTCATTTGATATTAATGTTTGTCCACAATCACATTTAATACATAATGGACAAAACCATATTTGATTACGAATATTTTGATATTGTTGCTCATCTTTTGATTGTTTTATACATTTGATATGAAATATTCTTTTACAATCCGAACAAGATATTAATTGAGAATCTTTTACTAAACCACATATATTACATACAATACAATTCGGACATAACCATGATTCAGGTGTAGGACATAAACAAGGACATTCTGATTCATTTAAACAAGCTCTATGATAAGCTTCACAACAGCTATTGCAATAAATTAAATCCGTACCCATTGAGCCACACTAAAATATAAAAATCAATAATTTTTATTGGAATCTTAGGTATGATCTTTTCTTGAAACATTAATCGAGAGTAAAAGCAAAACAAATTTGATAAAAATTTAGTTTATTTTTTAATTTTCCGTGAACCTCACCATTTCGTAGAAATCGTCTAATAGAGATCATTTTGTGAATAAATTATCATGACAAAGATTCATTTCTTTTGATATCGAATCCGTGGGTAGAATATATTAAATACATTCAGTCGGTATCGTTCTTAACTCTAGACACTTTATAAGAAAAAAGTCTCGCATGTGATCGAAGAACGTTTAGATCAATAATTATGAAGCCCAAATCCGTAGACTTTCGGTGGGTTTTCACTGGAAAGACTCCGTTTCTGGCCGAAAAATAAATCCAGGCGGATGAACCCATGCTTCGGAAACAATCGAATTTTTCTAGTTATCGTCGGACTCGGGTGTAATCTGATAGAACCGATTACTTCCAAACTACTACACTTTTCCAGCCCGTATTTCTTGACCTGGATAGAGATCGACCTATTCGAAAGACTGTCTGTCGATATGTCGAGTTATATTTTATATCTGAAAATTGTCATCTATATTGTAAATAGAACTCTCGAGAGTCAAACTTTTGACGCTGAATTTTTTTTTTAACTGGCATATATAGTTCGTTCTATGTTACTTGTTAATGAAAATGTCTGTCTAATTTTTTTTTCTTTCTTGAAACCTATTTATGGATGTATAAAATAAGGTATTTTTCCTCACTACTTAATATATGAAGAATGAACCTTTTCCTATAAAACAGAAGAAATACTTAATTCTTTTAGTAATGTAACTTCGACAAGAATTCTTCACGATTGCTTCGAGTACGTCGGAATCGCAATCTAGTTTCGGAGTCCAACATAGAGCTCTAATCGTGAACTGCTCTTTTATTATTAGTACGGGTTGCATTTGTCTACGACAAAGAGATCACACATTGATAATAAAACATAAAAAGCTGCTAGTGCAATCTCTGATGGATTAAAATGTGCAACACAACGTAGTTACTATTGCTAATCACTGAGAAATGGCTTCATTTTATCTACGTTGGGACATACTTCTTCACCATTCTTTTACTTAATCCTCCAAAAATACAATAAGAAATTATAAAGAGACATTATTGATATACAGTCTTTCATCGTATATCAACAATGTCTATCACACTCTATGAGAAGTCATATATTAAACATTTTATTTAGAGGTAGTATTAAAAATAAAATATTGTTTCATACTAACCATATAGCAAAGTGAATAAAATGGAAATGATTCATCTGATAGAACTGCATAACCTTCTTTAAGAAGATCACTTCGATTGAATGTATTTCTTACTTCCCAACGTAAATTTTTGCTTTGATTTATATTATCATCTATAGATTGTGTTGGTTCAATAGCTTTTCTTTTACTATGTTCATAAAGATATTTAAATTGTTTTAATAATTTTTTTGAATGTCCACTTAAAGCAAGTTTTTGTTCAAGAATTGTTTCATTTAAAACAACTGGATTGTATCGAGTTTGATCTGTTGATATATTTGAATCATCTTCGAAATCTTCGATATCACTATCATCATCATCATTTTGTTCTATTTTTGATTCTTCTGTATCACTACTAGGACATATTGATTCAGTATCAGTATCATTTGTTGAACTATCATACTGTTCATCGATTTCCACTAAATTATATTTAGAACGTTTTGAAGAAAAATTTTGTTCAGATTCATATGAACGTTTTTGATTTGTTTTTACTGTTCCTTTTTCATTCATAATTATTTCAAATTTCGATAATTTACGATCACTTTTGTAACATGCATATTAGAAGAACACGAAACATTTGATTGGTCAATTCCTTCATTTGAATATTACTTTGTCCTCTATTCATTTTTTTAAAAATAAAATAATGAATTATAGTTATTTAAAAAAAAAAATAAGTTTAATAAGTTTTTTATTTAATTTTTTTAAATATTAAAATTATTTTTTCATAGTTGTAACATATTAGCGTTAGTTGTTTATTTATTTACTTCGAAGGAGGACGATACATCGACGTGTTTTTTAGAAATTCATATTAATCGAAACTTCTTTCTAAATTACATTTGCTTTTTTGTTTTAATTTTTAGATTGAAACATCTGGTAAAATTATTTGAAAAAAAAAGATGGTGAAAGAAGATCGTTCAACATGGAAAGCCAAATATACCATGCGTTTAACGGTATAATATTATTTTTCTAAAAAAAAAAAATCGAAAAAAAAAAAACAGACAATTGCTCGTTGATGATGACCATGTATGTGTTCTGCAATTCTGAGTTTCTTCGGAAACATTGAAAATAATCGTTTTCTGAGAGCAATTGATTAATTAATAATTTAAATCGATTTTTTAAATGAATTCTTTATCTTATTGTTAAGTTAGTATAAAAAATCGTGACAAATAGTTTATTTTAATTTTAACAAAAAGAATTTCTTCAGTTATTGTATAGACTTTATTTAATTCTTCAAATATTAATTAACGATTTATAATGTTTTTTTTATCGAGAATACATAGTCTATTCTAGTTTAGAAAAAAAGCAATAGAACGGAGGCTTTGTTATCCAAACTATACAATGAGACAGCATTCTGCAATCAAAAGTGTTTCCTATTATTTGTTTTCACAGAACTTTGGAATTAGGAATGTCTTATTTCAGTCGAACGAGCGAAGTCCTCCAAACAGACTAATCATTTTTCACTTAGAACTAAACATATTATGTAGACTCTAATTAGTTATGAATATTCTGAAACGTTCAGTTTATTGTTGACTAGATACTATAATTTTGGGCTTAATGACGTGATGTCTCTCATCATAACTGATGCTCACATTTTGACTTGAAACTTTGTAGAGAGACAGACCTTAATAAGAATGACTGTATTTGAGAGTGTCGGCTTGTTTTGTTGATCCTATCTTACGATAAGTCTATGATAAAAGCGTATCTTTTACATCACTTGTATACATCTGCAGATTCAATGTTCCTATTCTGAGCAGCACTACCGCATTAAATTAAACAATGAAGTATCTTGCCAAGAATAATCGAAACGTTTCAGTATATTCATAGCTCATTAGAATCCACATGATGTGCAGAGCGTTCAACTGAAACGTGATCAATTAGTTGGAAGACTAGTCTTGTAACATTCAGTAAACTTAGATCTGCAATAGTTTCAATGTTCATCGTATGAGAGAATCGCTTGAAGTGATACTCGTCGTTTGAGTCCATATTGAGTCTACAGGGAGGTCTTCGTAAGATTCGAAAAAGTCTAAAAAGGATTCGTTCCTATGAGCCTTCAGAGCCGAGTTAGCATCGTTTTACTGAATTTTCGATTCAGTTTTAAGTATACCGAAAGTTTGGTCGAAATTCAGTAAAACGATCATAATCCGGCTCCAATGGTCTATGGAAACGGATTCATTATATGCATTCTCCAAATCTCACCATTTCGTTTTTAATGCTGACCTCAATAAAAATTTTCTTTCGACTATGTTTTGTTTTGCATATATCTTTAATATTTTCAGCAATATTTGGATGAATACCCGAAAGTATTTATTGTTGGCGCTGATAATGTTGGTTCACGTCAAATGCAAAAAATTCGTCTATCACTTCGTGGTCATGCTGGTAAGTGTTCATTGTTTTCATCGTTCAATAATAATGATATTTTATATAGTTATTATGATGGGAAAAAATACGATGATGCGTAAAACAATTCGTGGACAAACATCAAAAAATTCGAATTTAGAAAAAATTTTACCACATGTCTATGAAAATGTTGGTTTTGTTTTTACCAAAGAAGATTTAAGTTCAATTCGCGATAAACTTTTGGAAAATAAGGTTTATCTTCTATAGAAAAATAAATATTTACTTATTAATGAATATAATTTTTTTTAAAGGTTGCTGCTCCAGCTCGTGCTGGTGCTATTGCACCTGTTGATGTCACTATATCGGCACAAGTAACAGGTTTAGGTCCAGAAAAAACAAGTTTTTTTCAAGCACTTCAAATTCCAACAAAAATTACACGTGGTACAATTGAAATCATTGTACGTAGGTATAATAAAAACAAAATCAATACTTTAAAATTTCATTGAATAAAATCAAAAAAAAAAATATATTTTTTTTCTCATTTTAGAATGATGTTCATTTAATTAAAATTGGTGAAAAAGTTGGCGCTAGTGAAGCAACATTACTTAATATGTTGAACATTTCGCCATTCAGTTATGGTCTTATTATTCGTCAAGGTAAGAAAAGAAAACAGACTTGTTTTATTTGTTTTCAATAAAGGAAATATTTTTGTTTTTGTATTTTGATTAGTTTATGATTCGGGTTCATGTTTTGAACCAGCAATACTTGACATAAAACCAGCTGATTTACGTGCAAAATTTTCCCAGGGTATTCAAAGATTAGCAGCTTTTTCACTTGGTATTAATATTCCAAATCAAGTATCAGCACCACATCTTATTCTTGGTGGATTTAAACGTTTACTTGCATTAGCTGCTGAAACTGATGTTAATTTTGAACAAGCTAATACTGTAAGTTTATATGAATAAATACGGATTAATGATGAACTTTGTTTATCCAGTTCTGCTTCTGATTAAAGTAACTGATGAACAAATAACCATATCCAACAGCGTTCTGAAATCCGTTTATTACTTTTCAAATATAATTCGATTTATTTTGTTTCGCTTTTTTTAAGTTAAAAGAATTCTTGAAAGATCCATCGAAATTTGCCGCTACAACAACAGCAGCAGCACCAACAACAAGTGCACCAACTGGCACGAGTAAACAAGCAGCTCCAGAAAAACCTGCAAAACCAGCTGAACCAGAATCCGATGATGATGATATGGGTGGTCTTGATATATTTGGCTAAAACAAAAATCATTTTGAAATTTTCATCATCAATTTTAATGTGCCAATACTATCATCTATTTTACTCTTTGTCTTCTGTATTGTTCAAAAAGCATTGTTTTTCTGTCTTATTTGACATTAGAAGAAACAAGAATATTATATCATCATAAAGCAAATGAAAAAAAAAAAAATAAAAAGAACAGTTTATGAAAGAAGAATAACAAATAGGAACGTTAATAAGAAGTTTTTTTTGAATTTTCTTTTGAGTAGATGTCCGACATTTATTAGAAAAACAAAGTGTAAAGAAAAAGATTTTTTTTCTTTCAAGTGAAAACATTTCCAAAGAGTCCGTCATTTTTCAAGTTCGAAATAAAGTTTTGAATCTATATACAGGGTAGCCTAAAAAAAATCCAAAACGGTTAAATCATCAGATAGATACAAAAATTCTTAAATCAATACCAAGAAATCTTCAATTTTTCAGTATCTATGAACACTATCGTTTTGTTTAGGTACTGAAATATTTGGCGTCTTTGATCTTAACAATTCAATAGTGAAAATTTTTCAAGACATATTTAAATTTTCGTTCCTATCTGATGATTTAACGATTTCAGTTCCACGGAATATTTTAGGAATTGAATCGAAACCGCGGAACTCTACCGAAAATGAATTAAATTTTGAACGAATGAACTAATTGTTTTCACCGCTGATATAGATATGTTCACAGTTTATATTCATACAAAAACGTTGATAAAAATTGTTTTGATTGTCACTATTGATTTCAATTGAGAACAGTCATCTTTCACGAGTTGTGAAAAAATAATATATTCTCCTGCCCAAAATAAACTAATAGTCAACTACTTTACAAAATCTAATAAACACCTTCTATAATCGATATAATGATTATCACATAACAACATCTAATCTCAGTGGTTTGTCTTTAGTTGCGGCAAAAAAGTTATGATTATTCAATAGGAACATTACTTAACGTTAATGAACTGACGAGAGAATCTCTCGAAGTGCCAAATCACTTTTCGACCAAGGCGATGTTCATTTGATGAGTACTAGAGGGTAATAATAAAATCTAGAAACGTTGGTTTTCCAGGGTCTTTGTTCTTAAGATATCGACATTATACTGAGTTTTTCAACAAAAAAGCTGTGGTTCTCTCAGTTTAAATGAAAAATCAATTTCAAACTTTGTACGAACTAAGTTCTCAATGAACACAAGTTTTTGTTGGAAAACTCAGTAATTTTTCGATACCTCAAGAACGAAGATCCCAGAAAACAAACCATTCTAGACTTGTTTATTACTCACCTGTAGTCATCCAATGAATCAATGAACGTCGTCTGAGTCGACAAAGGCATTTGACGCCTGGGAACATTTCCTTGCAGGTTATAAAAGCATTTTTTGCTTGTCTTTCATTCTTTCTTTTTCAATAGTAAATATTTGATTCAAAGATATCTATCTGTTTGATTTTTTAACTGTCTCAAAAGAAAATATTGAGAAATTTCCATCTTAATTTTCGACATTGTTATTTTCAATCTTTTTATTTTCGACCAAATTAGGAAAAACTGAAAATATTCTTGATGATATTGTCTATCTTCCAAAACTTTAAACGACAGCTTTATTGTAAAAATTCAGATCACAATAAATGAAAAAAGAATATCTAGTTCGATTCTTTATAGTTCATCCATTATTTGAAAAAATCATTACAGTCTCATTGTTTTCAAGTCTTTTAAAACATAATAAAATCAACAAAATCTCAACAAGTATTTTATCTGGCTAGAGACATTCTCGAACAATTAATTTGTTATTGCTTTAGAGCAAAAACAAAGCCAATCAGATATCATTAATCAAATGTTAGGAATAAGCTTTTCATTTTCTGTACTGATAAAATCACAATGAACATTAC